AGGTGGAGCTGCTGCAGCACGTTATCGACTACATATGGGACCTGCAGCTGGAGCTGCAGTGCGGCCCCCCGCACCCCGCCGCCGCCGGGGACTCCCCCGAGGTGAGTGCGGACCCCACGGCACCGGCTCAGACCCGCGCTCCTGACGGGCAGCACCGGCGTTCTTTGGAATCTCCTTCCCCTGATCTGCATCGCGCCCTCTCCTTCCCGGGGATGTCCCTTCCTCCTGTCTCCTTTCCATCGCTGCCCTCCGGCACCCTCCTGGCAAGCATTAACCGACCGCTTCGTGTCCCTTTCCCGCAGGCTCCGTGCATTCCCGCTGCCGATCGGATCCTCTGCCGCTGAGACCGCTCTGGAGCCACCACGGACATCATCCCCGGGATCCCGGTCCCACCACGGACATCGTCCCCGGGACCCCGTCCCTGAGCACCGCGGCTCACCTGCATCCCTGGCTCCCTGGAGGGGCTGCCCTGGGGGTCCCCCCGCAGTCTGGGCAGGGGGTGCTGTGGGCCGGATCCTTCCTTCTCAGATTGCTGAGAGCATTCCCCGTATTGTATATTACAATGATGCTGGAGAATATTGTTCTACAATAGCTGGAGTTTTGTTATTAAACAAGTCCCGATGACCACACGTGCGTTTTCTTCTGCCCCTCACACCCCCTGCCCTGGGTTTTGGGTGTGTTTACTCACGGGGATATGTTCCCCATCAAACGGTGGGCAACTTGGGGCTGGGTGGGTGTGCTGGGGGATACAGGGTCCCTGTGGTGGTGCTTGGGAAGGGGTTTCTCACAGGCTGGTCCCAATTCCCCATGTCCCGGCATTACCCTCAGAGAGCCTTTCCCAATGGTTCCAGAGGGGTTTCACTCCCTCTAACTCCCTGGGATCAGACGGTGATCCCAGGTGTTGAGGTTCAGACAGAGTGGGGTGTTGAGGGTCAGACAGAGGAGGAAAGATTGTTTGCACCCTGTCTTCTGTGGTGGGATAATGCTGCAGCAGTGGGATGCATCTTCCCCTGATCAGGCACCTTGATGGGGTGAGGACACACAGGGGTTTGTGGGGTTCTGTGCCCAGATGGGAGTGTGATTTCCCCATCTCCCTGGACAGGGGTGTGTTCGAAGCCTGGAATTCCCTTCACTCCCCCTCCCAGCTGGGCCACCTGCACCCAGCAGCCTTCCTGAGGCTCCCACAATTATTGCTCTGTCAGGACTGGGGGGTTACATGGTGGTGATGCAGGGATTAATCCCTTTACAGGGGACAGCAGTTACAAGTCCTGTGGTGCTTATCTCTGTGGCCCCGCCCCTGTGGTTCCTGCTCTTCCTGGTGCACCCCCCTGCCTGTGGGGATAGAACCTCTTGGGACAAGGAAATTGCATCAGGGGTTGTGCAACCCCGAGGGCTGGGGGTGCCCCGGGCAGCTGCCCTGACCTGAGCTTCCCTGTGACTCACAAATACCCCAAGGACCTCCCCGGCTCCTGCTCCAGATCTGTTCAGACCTTCATACGGGCCTGCCAGGGGACAATTGGGGTGCCTGGAGAGGTTCTTGTTGCTCTAGTGGGACCTTTTAGGCCCCCCCCGCCCCAGGGTCCTGCAGCCGAGGGATTTGGGGCTGGAAGGGTTGGCCAGTCCTGGGCACAGGGGTGTGTATGTGTGAGGCTCTGCACCCCTTTGTGTGTGATTGTGTGTTCTCAGGCACGGTCACAGCTGCCGGTGTGTCCGTGCCCACTCGTGCTTTCCCAGCCCGGCAGATCCCCTGCCTTCGAGGGGACAGGTGCCTTGGGGACATGGGGACACTGCCTCGCCTGTCCACCCCTGTCCTGGCAGTGACAAAGCAGCAGGAGACACGTAGCGGGGCCGGGGGCTCTGTTTCTCTGTGGCTGAACTTGTCCATCGTTGGATGGGTCCCCTCCATCACCCCCAGCTCCTCTTTATCGTCCCCGCTGGTGTCTCCTCCACCGCCCGCCTTCCTCCCAGTCCCGGAGCACGGGGCGGTGGGTCCCTCTCCCGGTGCCCGCTCGCACTGCACGGCCCCGCCGGCCTCCTGGAGTAGCCCGAAAGGTCTCAGGACAGGGAGAACCGGGACTGGGGGCTCTGCTCGGCCCGGGGGCTGTGCGGGAGGAGCTGGGGCTCTTCCCGTGCCGTGTTCCCGGGTGCCGACCTTAGCTGTTCATTGCCGCCTGATGTGGCCGCTCCCGCTGGAGCGGTGGGAGAGGAGCTCCCTGTGTGTCCATGTGTGTCCCCATGTCCCTGCCTGACCCTGCCCGAGCCCTGTGTGCCCCACGACCGAGCCCAGCCTGCAGCCCTGGCCATCATCCCCTCTTTATGTGGGGTGGGCACCACCGGGTACCCGGCACAGGAGAGCTGGGAAGGGGCTGATGGCACCAGCCCAGGCTTGGGGCAGGGCTGAGCCGCCTGCACGTGTCGGGATGCCGGATGCGGCAGCACCAGGATGCACCGGAGAGCCCCAGGGAGCGCCCAGCCCGCGGGCACCTGCGCCCCAACCGGTCCCTCGGTGTTTTCGTGGGACCTGATTCATCCCGGAAGGGATTAGGGACGGGGGAAATGGGTGACGTTGTGGTCTGACCAGGACCCGGGATGGACACTGGCGTCAGAGCTGGTCCCTGCTGTTCACTGCCACGTACAGTCCCAGGGACACGGAGGAGCCGGGACCCATGGCAGGATCTGCGGCCCCTGCGGTGGGGGGCACCGCTCCCCCCTGTCACGGTGAGTCTGGTGCAGGGCAGAGGCACCCTGGGATAGAGGGGCTGTGCTGGGCATGGGGCTGGGGGTCAGGGTCACTCTGGGTCACTGCTGGGGGCTCTGGCCACCACTGCAGCCATGGCTGGTGGCACTGGGTGTCCCAGGCCAGTGGGCAGCTGCTTTCAAGGCCTCCATAAGGTACATTATGTGCAGCTGTGGTCCTTCTGATGAGGTTGCCTGTGGGCTCTGTGTGCCCCTGCGGTGCTGAGATTAGGCCCTGGCCCTCCTACAGATACCTCTGGGTCTGCCAGGCTGGATCCAGGAGGGCACCCGTTATCCATAGCCCATGGCACTGGAGGGGCTCACCCTGGCACAGTCCCACTGATGGTGGGTTTGGTAGTGCAGGTGGCTCCTTCCCCACATGGGGTTTTTTGGAGGGGATTGCACAGTTCTGCTCTCACTCTGAATGTCCCAGCCTTTCCATTACCTCCTTGGGGGCTGCCTCTGTACCCTGGACACCCCGATCCCCACTGAAATTTAGGTAATCCTGCACAGGCTTCCCAGAGCCCTTCCCAAAGTGGGTACAGCTGCTGCTCCCTTGTGTGAATGGGTTTGAGCCCTGGTTGCCCTGGTGCAGGCCCCCCTTCCCAGGACCAGCTCTTTGTGTCTCCCTCTCCTCCATTGCTCCCAGGCAGGGCACAGCTGAAGCTCTCCAGGGACCTTGGCCCCGCCAGGTGTGTCCCCACATGCTGGTGCTGTGCCCCTGTGGGGAGCCCGAGCTGGTGTCCTTGGCTCGTGTGTACCCCCAGGGTGGGGGGCTCCAGGGGTGGCGTGGGAGCCTGAATTCCCCCCACTCCCACGATGGGCATGAGTGCAGAACAACGGGGATCCAGCTTCCCCTTTCAGTCACACGTTGGGCAAGGCTGGGCTTTCGGTGGCCAGAGCACTGTGGTGTCCCCATGTGTGCTGATGTCACCGGGGTTCCCTGTCCCCGATATAAGTCCTGGCTGTGCTGGTGGGTCTCTACACCAACTGTGTGTCCCCCAGACATGTTCTCTGCTCCAGCCTCAAGGGCCCAGGACCAGCCTCAAGGTATTGTATGGCTCTGCCTCCTGCTCCTGCTGCCCATCTGTGTCTCTGCCACCATCACCAGCCCTGGCACCAGTCCTGGCATCAAGGCCTGGCTGACCCAGAGGACACTGGAATTTGGTGAGTCTGTGCTCCTGAGTAGGCAGAGCTGGGTGGGACCAGTGGGGGATGGTGCCCAGACTGCTGAGGAATGAGGAATGCAGGGGAATGAGGGGCATCAGTGGGCACCCCAGGAATGATGCCAAGTCTGCTGGAAATGGGGGATGGAAGAACCATCCTGGACCTGGCTGCTCACTCTCCTGACACCCAAGGTACCCCAGCCCCTTCCTTGGTGTCAGCCCAAATTCCCACTTTGCCCCAGGCCGGCGCTTTGGGCTGGAGCTGCTCCAGTCGATGCTGCAGAAGGAGCATGAGCTGAACCTGACAGGTTCCTACAACACCCCGCTCCTGGGAACTCTCACCTACGCTGTGCCACGGTAAGAGCCACCTCTGGGGTCCCTGTCACTGTCCCCATCCCTGTCTGCGCCACAGCCACAAGCACAACTTGCCTGTGTTGTGCAGGATCCACATCCATGAACTGCAGATGAATGAATCCACACTGGACTTTGCCGAGGACGTGGGGGTGAGGCTGGTGGTGCAGCGCGCCCAAATCCAGCTCAGCGCCGACTGGGCAGCCCAGCTGGGCGCCGTGTGAGTGCTCACGGGGACAGGGACAGGACTCAGGGTGGCTCAATGTCACCGCTGTCCCTGTGCTCACCCACTCTGTCCCCAGCCAGGACAGCGGCTCTGTGGAGCTCCGCATGCAGGACCTGGCCGTGGCAGCGGTGTTGGGGGTGAGTGAGGATGGCAGCGGCCACCCCACGGTTTGGAGCGCCGGCTGTGACAGCCACAGCACTGACCTGCAGATGGAGTTTCACCGTGGATACAGGTGATGCCAAACTCCCCTGCTCTGTCCTGTCCCTGGCATGCAAGTTCTACTGGTGCCCCAGCCAGGGTGGTGGGCTGGGAGAGGCTGGGTGGGTGCCATGAGGTGATCTGAGCACCCCACTCTGCCTTACAGCTGGCTCTACAACCTGCTGGCACCTCTGCTCCAGAGAACCCTGCGGCAGCAGCTGAACAAGCAGGTGGGTGCACCCCCTGTGCCGTGGGGGTGTTGGTGCCCCTGCCTCCCCCAGCGCAGTGAGAGGCTTGGACACCCTCCTCCCTGGGCTCGCTGACACCCTGCTCTGTTTCCAGCTCTGCCTCGTGCTCCACAGGGGCGTTGACAGGCTAGACACTGTCCTGAAGCACATGAAAGGTGGGTGAGGGACTCCAGGACTGGGGACAGGCAGGGTGGTCCTGGGGGGCTGTGGACAGCAGTGATTCCCAGCAGGGTCTGCAGGACCCCACTGTGGGACCAGATCCTGACAGCCAGGCTGTGGGAGGGGGCAGGTGGTCTGACTCCTCCTGACCACCCCATGTCCCTGCAGTGTCCACCCAGCTGGACACCTTTGCTGCCCTCGACCTCTCCCTGCTGGGACCGCCAGCCTTCACAGACGAGTATGGGGACATTGCCCTCAAGGTAATGTCATGATGTCATCCTGGGCATCCCTGGGCCAGATTTGGGAACAGGGGAGCCTGGCTGATCCTCACATCCATCTGTGTGCTTGTGCAGGGAGAGATCTTCAGGGTGGGCACGTACCAGCAGAGACCCTCAGCACTGCCTGTAGTGCTGCCTGTGGCATTACCCATGGCACTGCCCGTGGCTTTGCCCACGCCCCCGCCCAAGATATCGCCCATGGCACACGAGCCCATGCTGCTGCTGGCTGTCACCGACTTTGTCGCCAACTCAGCTGCCTTCACATACTTCACGGCCGGGGCCCTGCGCAGGAACATCTCCAGTGACATGGTAGGGATGGCTGGAGAGCAGAGCTGTCCCCATGGGGTGACACTGGGGTGTCCCCATGCCCACCCCTGCTCAGCCCCAGCACCCTGATCCCTCCCTGCCTTCCAGCTCCCTCGGCGGTTCCCGCTCCAGCTGAGCACCAAGAGCATGGAGGTCTTCTCCCCTCAGGTGAGTGGGATGGGACACAGGGAGAAGGGGCACAGGTAGGACATGGAGTACGACAGGATGCAGCTGGGATGGGACATGGGATACAAGATGGGATTGCAGGAGGGACAGAATGGGATGCTAGAGGGTGAGATATAGGAAATGATGCTGGAAGGATGGGACAGGGGATGGGGCATAGGAGGGATGGGATGCAGGAGGGAAAGGTTGCAGGTGGGATGGCACATGGGGTGACACAGAGGTCAAATGGGGTGTACGAGGGACAGGACAGGCAATGGGGTGCAGTGGAAATGGGATGTGTTGCAGGCAGTATGGGATGCAGACAGAATGGGACACCACAGGACAAGGACACGGGCAGGGCAGTGATGGGCATATGGGACCTGGGCAATAGTGGGGACCTGATGGGGGCATGGCCAGCATGGCTCTGTGTCACCCCTGCCCTGTCCCTCCCAGCTGCAGGAGCGCTATCCAAACCAGCCCATGGAGCTGCACCTCTGGGCCCGCCGGCAGCCCCTGCTCTCCTCCCATCCTGATGCCTTGCACGGGACCCTCTTCAGCTCTGCCGAGGCCTTTGTGGTGCTGCCCAATGCCACCCGTGTCCCTGCCTTTCTGCTGAACATTGTGAGTGGCTCCTGCTGCCACGGCTCACGGAGCCAGGGTACCCCAAAGGGCTTGGCTGGTGCTGGTGTGCCTGTGCTCCTGGCTGGGGCCCTGCTGGGGGATACTGGGGGATGCTGGGGCCAGCTGGGTGATGCTGGGTTGCAGGCACTGCCCTTCTCTCTCCAACATCTCTTCTTGCTGCAGGATGCCAACGTGACGGGGAAGCCGACAATCACCAGGAACAGACTCGGGGGCACTGTGAGACTGACAGGGTTAGTGCCTGACCCTCAGCTGGGTCTGAGCTCCCCTAGGACATACCTGAAGAGCTCTCCCATTCCCCACTTCTGTCCATTTGCCTCCCTGAGTCCTGTATTGCCTGCTCAGAGCCTGTCATGCCCCCAGTTCACATCTGTGCCAGCTGCCCTGGCAGTAGGTCCTCAGCTGGACTCGTTCTGCTTGGGGTCCTGGTCCCACCATGGAGCTCAGCCTGTCCCTATCCTGGGACAGGACAGTTCCCACCCCTGTGCCTGGCTCTGACCCTGATCTTGTCCTCCAGGCTCCGTGTAACACAAGTGGCGTCAAACGTGGGCCCCGTGGAGGTGAGTGGCTGTGCCAGGGAAGACAAGGGGAGCTTTGGGTTCCACATCACCTTGGGAGCAGGGTCTGGGGGGAATCTGGGGTGCTGTGGACCCCATGCATGGCAGGTCTGGCAGGGGGCTGAGCCCTGCCTGCAGCATGGACCCCCCTGTCTGTGCTGGGCTCAAACCTGCCTGTCCCACAGGTGAAGCGTTTGGAGACCCTGCTGAAATTTGGCCTGTGGCTTTTTGGGGTTCCCCGGGCAAACAGTAAGTGCTGTCCCCGTCCTGTCCCCATCCTCCCACAGCTGCACCAGGGCCGTCCGCTGCTATGACTTTGTCTCCCCACAGAGTGGCTCCAGGCTGGCATCCCCCTGCCCCTCCCGCATGGCCTCAGCCTGCTCAGACCCCGGCTCTCTTTGCAGCAGGTGGGTGCCACCACTGTCCTCTTACCCCAGGGTCCCCCGTGGTCCCCATATCCCCCTCTCACCCTGACTCCCTACAGGGCTTCGTGCTCATCGCCACGGACCTGCAGTACGAGCCGTGAGACCACCTGCCTCGTGGGAACCCGAGTTCACGGGGGTCACGCCACTCGCGTCCCCATCACCGTCCCGTTACCATCGTGGCCCCTTGGCTGGCAAAGCGCCCAACCGCAGGCCCCCCATCCTGGGCAGGGATTAAAGCGGGAGCGCAGCTCAGCCCTGTGTGCTGGGGGGTGTTTCGGGGAGCCCCCTCAGCCGCGTCTCCCACGCAGGGTCCCACTCCCGACACCGCGACGGGACATCGCTGTGTCCTCTGCTGCAAGGGACTCTGGCTGTGCCGTGGTGGGTCCGGGGCTCCGGGCTGCTGGGGTCGGGGCTAGTGGCCCTCGGGGACCGGGGTTTCCCCAATCCTCGAGGCTGTGTTGGTCGTGGGGGTCCCTGTGCTCCCGCTCCCCGCAGCAGCTCCGCGGCAGCTTCTCCCGCTGCCCACGGGATGGTGCTCGTGTCCGCGGGCTCCCGCCG